ATTAATAAAGTAATACAAACAAACTGATAATACTTCTTTTGAGTAACATTTTCAGTGGAGGACTTTTACTTAAGAGTATTAATTTTCTACAGTATCAGTAGCCTATACTTTTATTTAAGTAAAGCATCTGAACCCTTAATACAACACTGCCCACTGTCATTTATTTCTCATGCTAAAGGCAGTTTACATGTATAAAAACTGAGAACATGTAGCAACAAAGAAACAAGAAACACAGAAAAGACATATATAAAAGAAAAGAGGAATAAATAAATAAAAAAAAAGTAAAAGAAAATAAATAATGTAATGCTTGGGAAGGGGAATTTGGTAGATTAATCATCAACTGTCCGCCAAAAAAGACCAAAACAACATCTGAACATCTGTCTACTTTAGACGTTTTGTTAACGGAAGGAGGGAGTTCAACCGGTCAACACGGGTTGCTACAGTAACCAACTAACCGTTAACGTAACAGCAATACAGTAACGACTTTCACTTAGGGTCTACTTTTCGAGTAACGAGCCTCAGTGCCGGTGAGCGGAGAGACACACAGATAGTGATTAGTGAGATTACTGCAGTTGTGGGCACCATGACAACGAGGTTCTAGTGCGTCTTAAGGAGAATGCTGCTCTCTGATTGGCTGAAAGCTTAAAAGGCACAAAGTCCCTCATGCAGGTATCTCACACACTCACACACACACTCACACACTCACACACACACACTCACACTCACCGACTCTTCTCTTGCACAAGAAGCAGGGGATGGATAACTGAGTAACGCACGCAGATTCACACAGGTACGTTTAACTTTAAAACTAACTTTGTGGCAGTTAAATCTACTTAAGGTTAGTTTGAACAACAATTTATGTTAAATAGGGTTGTTTAAATCGTGTTTTTCCCCTCTAACGTTAATATAAGAAATTAATCTATTGCTCACATTAAGTGTATTATATCGAGTTATAGTAACGAACTATTTCCTGATTAAATCCCGCTTTTTCAAAATAGTTTTTGTAACATAATGATGATCTCCGACTTCATATTTTTGTATAAAGTCATATAGTTAATGTAATTTTCGTGTTAAGCCATCTCTACAGTGCATAGTCAGCTTTTGTTTTATTTGCAGACTAATTTTAGAATAATCTATATTTTGTAGAGACTATTTGAGGCAGAAAATCTTTATTACAAAAGACACAAACTACTGTGCTTAAAACCCTGGGGAATCTGAAGGCAGAGGGCTGATAGTGAGGATTAAAATAAACTTGGGGGGAAAAAAAAATATATATATATATGTATATAAAACCTTGTTCAGTTGCTCTTTTATAGCCACAATCTTAAACAACTGCAACTGTGTTACTGGACCAGGGATTATGTTCCTAGGAGCTTCACATGGCGGTTACATTTATTGCCTCAGCCTCTTACACAGTTTTATGAAAGATAAGCTCATCGTGTTTCCCATGTCGGTTGCTCCAGTGTTGATGAGTGTATATCTATATGGAGATAACATTATATATGATGTATTTTCAACGGTGTTTAAGATGTCGTTTCACTTATGCTATACAGGGGTTAATGACCGACTCTGGCGTTTCGTTATGACAAGGGAAAAAACCCAAGTCACATTGCCCCCTTGAACAGGACAGAAAAAAACCAGTCGCTTTAGGGTTTAAAATATATAGTTTTTGCCTGCAGGCCACAGTAGCTGCTCTTTTTATGTGCATGTGATCAACCCAGATTGTGTGGGGTTAAAACACAATAAACGTTATCTCAGTGTTTCCACTGTGTCACATATTCATATCCTGACCTGCATGCAGCGGGACAGATGGGGGCATTTACATATTGGGCTGTTGATAGGGGCTTTAAAATTTTACAGGGATGGGATGACATGGCAAAGCATGAACAGTGAACAGGAGTGCTTTTGTGCCTCTCTTGGCCTATCTAGCAGCCCTTCCCTCTCAGGTGTTGAAACTTATCCAAAAGTGAATTTCTTTTCACCAGGATCAGACAGAGCTGCCTTTATACTAAACTTTATTCTCTAAAATGTGTTTGTTCTGGTAGAAATCTTTGCTCAAAATTGCTGTTAAACAACTGATCCTTCAGTTTGGGCAATTTGCAGTACTTGCACCAATAAGATGCTTTTATCCAGAGTGTCTCACATGGCCAGAATAATGTGTGTGAATGTTATCATTGTATTTATTTATTGTATTTCATTCTCTCTGTATTTCACTACCTAAAAATGATATAACCAAATAAATAATGTCCCAAAACTAGACTGCTACAGTAAGACAACAAACTGGATATCACATAGCTTCCAGGAGATCATTGCTGCTGCCCTCCACTCCCGCTGAAACTGATCCGGTTGAGGAAGATTAGGAGTGGCATGTGTGCTGTAATCTGAGTCACATGCAGTAAGAGGACTAGTTCGATATCTGTCAGAAACACACTGACCAATGATACCCTGTCATTCTCTAAGAGCAAGGCTGTCCAGTCATCAGAAAACTGCCGTGCATATAAAACACACCACAGGGCTACATAGGATGTTACATGTTGAGGTGGTATTATGTAGGTCTGTGTATGAGACAGAGCAAATTAAAAATAGCCCAATAATTCAGACATATATACATCTCAAGGACCATTGCGTTGGTTTTAGCCAATTAACTGCAGCCTATGTATCCTTTACATTACTCTGAACCATTTGCCAAGGATACTGTACTACTGTACTAATTAAATCTACTACTATTTATCACAGTTCACATTAAGTCACCTTTAATTTGTTTTTTCTCAAAAGTTACGTTACAGTTTCACAGTATTGCAGCTGCGAGCCGGGACCTTTTTTTAAACTAAATTAATTAAAGTGTCAACATCTTAGAGCTTAAAAGTCAATTGTGTTCAAGCTAAATGAGACCAAGAACACAAAGCAAATATGACCTTTATGAAAACAATACAGTGTAAATGTATTATTACTTGTTGCTGTTCTGCAGCAATTGATGCTTTAGTGTTGAGTGTAGGGGATTAACCATGAATAATTCAATGCATCAATAACAGTAGTTTTCTAAAATTGCCTTTGAGCAAACGAAAACTTTACTTGATGAAAATCTAAACTTAACAAAAGCTAGTTGACCCTACAGAGGCTGTAAAGAGCTTCTAATTTTTAACACTTTTTATTCACTTGTAAGAGTTTATGAGTTTGTCTTTGAACATTTTTAAATTCTCCTGTGATACTTTACCCTCAAGCTCCAGCAGTGCATACAATACAAACTATTGGACCCATTTGTTCTTCAATGGCGCGATGATGTAAAAAGTGTACAGCTGTCATTCTACGATATTATAAATTAGTTATGAAGACAAAGATTCTTCTTCGATATGTTATAATTCTCAAACTATCCAACCCTACATGGTCCAACCACAATGTACACCATCTTTACAGTATAGGATAATAACATTAAAGTAACCCTAAGGACTTATTTTAATCCTGGGTTGAGGTAACTCAGGGTTACCTTTACATGTTTGACACTGTTTACATTGAAGCTAGTAGTAAAGACGGATCAGTCCGACCTGGAGCTGACTGGTTCCCTGTTGTGCTCATTAGTGCTCACACACAACATCTCATTTCCCTTCCTCTCCATGGCTGTGTACATTCATTGGAAACAAATGTACAGGTTATTTGACCCCAAGCCATATATTGTTAATCGGTGTCTGTGTACATTGTTTTGTCATTTATTAATTAATTATATATGAAGCCAAAATCTAAATTCCCTTCACAGCTGAAATATTGTCCTACAGCCATAAATCAGATGTGTTCAAAGCTCTGAATTTAGAAATATGGTTGATGCTTTAACAAAGAGTATTGCATATTGTGGTCTGCTTTAATGCAGCAATTTGCCAGATACTGGTCAGGGCTTTGTTGATCAATAAGTGCATGTCACTGTTTTTGCTAAAACATTTTATACAGACTGCCAGTATCGATGGTGGGCCTCTGTTCTTAATCTGTACCGTTCATTAGAGGTCTGGAAATTGTAGGAATCTGAGTACAAGTACCAGCATATTGGTGTAGTCCGGTGTACCTATTACGTTTATTAACATCCATCTCTCATTGAGATTTTCTTGCAAGCTGAGCTATTACTAAAGTATGAAAATCTCCATAGAAAATCCATCATAATATCACATCAGTGTTTTCTGCCTACAGGTTCCTCAGTTATCTGTTAACCAGATGTCCTTTTATGCTGATTAGACATTTCTGCATTAAGGTTAACAGTAGGTGACACAAAAGCTATTGAAAGGTTGGAGCAAAAAGATTAAGTAAAGACCAAGTGAGAAAATGCAAAAGTATTGCAAGGGGATGCAAGTATTTTCAAGAAAATTCCCAATATGGTCCTTCATGGACTCCGTAGACTTCATACTGTACAAAAAGGAATGTAAACTAATGGCTGTCTGAAAGAAAGACCATCTATAAACCTGTGGAAAATTGTCCACAGAGACAGTATAAACATTGTTATTGAATCAACCATTAATGTCACTTATAGAGGAACAACTTAAACTGCAATTCTAACTCACCATGTATTCCCTTTTCACAGAGTGTACCACAACAATCTGTGCCACTAACCTCAGATAGAATCAGGGCACTAAGATGCCCAAAAGCGATACCTGGCCAGGTGGCATTGGATTGGAGACGATGACAGGCATGGACAGTGCTGGCAGCTGTGACAGTGTTGTCAGCGCCAATTCTGGCTTTGTAAGTTACTAATCTTCCCCTCTTGAACCTGAGCATAGTATTAGTTCCTCTACAACTCATTATACAAAACAACAGTTAATACACAAAACAATGTAGGTAACAGAGAGTAGAAACATAACAGCTAAGGGATGTATCTGGTTTTATAGTTGTGTGTCTATTTAGAAGTGAAAGGCTTTAAGGCTTTATACTATCATCTTTGAAAACACCTTTGGGATATCTCACTGTGGATTTTTTGTCACGAGGAAAGCCCTACTTTTATGTATTACAGAGTGATGATAGTCTGGAGTACTTGTCTGCTGAGGAGAAAGCCTGTCTCATGTTTTTGGAGGAGACTATTGAGTCTTTGGATACCGAGGAGGACAGTGGACTGTCCAATGATGAACCTGACCAACTGCCCAACCCTGGCAACATTGCTAACAAACTGGCTGACCTGTCAGCCTCCATGAGCAAAAACAAGCTCAACAGTAAGTTAATCTCTTGGCAGAAACGCAGAATTAGTTAAACAGTAATACTGAAAGAGAGACACATTGTGGTGAACATGTGCTTGTTTGTCTTCCAGGTTCACAGAAACATGCCTCTAAGGAACCCATGAAGGAAAATGTTGACACCAAACCCATGCAGAGCTACCTGGTCCCTACACCTTTTGTTGTAGCAAGAAGCTCTCCGTGTTCTGTACCCATTGCTAAACAGAGTGTCTCTCCGGACAAAAATATCAGCTGTCAACCTCAGTTCACTTCTTCAAGCAAACAACCTGGTCATAAACACAACCAGAAACCTGCTGCTCCCCAAGTACCTTTAGAGGTTACTGTTATGATACCTCCTCCTACTAAATTCAGGGACTACTCAGTTCGGACAACTGAAGGTCCTTTACCTAGAGGACCTCTGTCCTATGAGGCACTTTTTCACCTGCGGAGGAGTGCCTCCACAAAGAAGACGCCTTTATGTCCCACCATCGATCATACTATAGACTTGGACAAGCACCTTCCTGTTACAGCGGAAGGCCCAAACCTCGGAAATCTTCCAAGATTCGGCAGATCCAACTCAGAGGCTTCCATGTCTAAGACAGGTCCTCCAGTCGTGGCCCCCAAACCCAAAAAGATTCCTGCCAACATATCTATGAAAACACAAAATGAAGCAGCCATAACCTCAGATTCTTCATACGGTGTCAAGCATGCAACAGACCCCCAGGTCGTGAGACTGGAAGCTTTGCAGAAGCTGGGACTCCTGAAAGATCAACAACCAGAAAACGAGACAGTAGCCCCACTGCCTCCCCCCAAATCTCACTCCTCTCTGGACCCAACCCCAAACAGATTTACAAGAGGTCCATCTAACGTTAATCCGTCAAGAAGTCCATCGTTTTCTCATTCTCAAGTGCCCTCGGAGCCCAAGAACAGGCCTCTGCAGAGCAGTGCCAGTTTCCATCACTACTCCAGACCTGACAAACAGCCTGCGTCTGTATCGCATCCTGCTCAATCCAACGGACTGAAGGCGGCTGGTCTGGAGCGCTCTGCTACCATGGACAACCACAGAAACGGTGGAAGATGCCCTGAACCACGGTACACCACTGCAGCTCAGCCCCAAAAACCCTCAAACCCAGCCGGATATACCGTGATGGTGGTGCCTGGTATGGGAGCTGATCGAAAAGAAGCACTCAGAAAGCTCGGACTGCTCAAAGACTAAAAACAGATGAACAACAGAAGTCTGCCTGCGTAAGTGTGGCGCTCAGAAAGAGTTCAAGAGTACTATCAGCTTAAAGAGAGTTAGAGCATTAAGGGGGAACTTGGCACTTTGGCAAACTAAAGCAGAAGAGGATGAAGAAGAGGAAGAATTTAAAGGGGAAATACCAGCACTTTTAATGTAGGTTGTTTTATTCAAATATTGTTCTTATGTAGGTTTCAACAGTACCTGAAGATCTACCTTACACAGTTCAAACCCCCGAAGCTCCTCGTATTTCATTGAAATGTTAATGTAATGCCATCTAATCAGAATCACTTGGTGTTTAACAAATTTCAGTTAGATATATGACTTGATAAGGCACAACAGAACAAATCATCAACAGTGCATATGAAAAAAGGAAGCACTTTAAACATCAATATAGTGTTGAAGTTATAGCCTTCACTCCTCCATCTCCAAATCCGATGGAGCATTGGTTTTCTGCATGCACTAGTATCCACGTACACGTTTATGGCTGTAAGAAATTATTTGTAAGAAGCAAAACAAGACACATTTTATATTGGTGGTAACATACTGAAGCCATCCATATTGTGGCTTTCCATTAATCTTGTTCCTTCCTCATCATACTATATATAAAATGCTGCTCCGCTGTACTTATACTTAAAGGAAACATCGACCAAAATCAAGCAAATTTTTACGTTACTGGTCGTTTTATAAATCACAGATGTGCCTATAAGTGGATTGTTAAGTACATCCCTTGGAGCAATCACTTTATGCTGCTCATAATTATTGTAAAATGAAATTTGGAAGTGTTTTGGGGTGATTTTTCAGAGTTTTCTAATTTTAAGTAGCTACCAGCAGTACATTGTTATTGAGATCTGATGTATAGATAGCTCACCGATATGTTTCTACTATTTTATACAGTATATATATGATTCAGGTGGTTTTAAAGATGTGACAAACAGTCCATGTAACTGCCTTAATTGTCAAAATACTGGAACAAATCAATGATAATGTGATTATTTTTACCTACTCTATTTCCATAAATGCAAGTGAAAATAAAGAAGTCTTCATCTTATATATAGTGTATTGTATTTTTTATGTAAGTTTTAATACAGTATTAAACTTAACATCAGTCTGTGTAAATAAATAGTCAACACTTTGTTTCTTGAAACTGTTATCACTCCATGTAGACCTTTAAATGTGATTCATTTGAGCTCTTAATTTAAAGTTGTTTTTAATTAAGACAAATATACACACAATGGTAAATACATATATGCACATCTTGTATCTGGGGTCCGTCTAGAAGCAAAGTCAATTTAATTTTGTCCAACCTTCTTCCCTGTAACCTGCAGAGTGACTTTACATCTCTGCTCCACTCACAGAATAGACTATCAGTCGTACTGCTCATCTTACACGGCACTCGTGCACTTTCTCATTTGAGAAAGCCTGCTCAGCTGTTCTTCCATTATCCGATTATCTTGAGCCCCACCTGTGTGTGAACTCAGCAGACCGGTGTTTTCCTTTCTGTGTTTTCTTGCTATCACTTGCATGTAAAGACTAATTCCTGCCACTGACTTGTGTGAACTGCTAGTCGTTTGTTAAGAAACCGCCTTGAAGCCATTAACTAAGTGTGTGGTTGATTATTACGGGAGACAATTACAGTGGCTTTCCTGTAGTGTAATCTCTCAGTGAGGCGAGGGGTTCACCTAATGTGCCAGTATCTGTGTCTAGTGTGTCTGCACACAGGCAAATAAAGGGTGTCAAATTTTGAAACTGACACGGCTCTCTGCCGGTCAAGTAATATTAAACAATGGATGAAGAAATCAGGCCATAGCCAAAGACAGAAATATGATACTCAGACGGAAAAGCTTTGTTTATCAATAAAGATAAAAATGACTGTGTTTTGTAAAAAAGAAACAAGCAAAAAACAGAAAACTTTTATGACATTATGTGTATCTGCTGTAACTCCTCTGCTAGAGATACAGACTCCATCACAGGATTATTCTGAATAATTGATTATTGAAATAAATCTATGCAACCATTTGATATCTGCATCAAAATGATTTTTTTATGATTCACAGACTGTCAAGCATTAATTAAAAAGGTTCTCTCATCCCTATAAAGCTGAAGTAAAGCCACATCAAAATCCACAATGCTGACCCCAGAGGTCATACGTAACATGAGACAACCGCCTACTACCTGTCAACACTGCTGCCATGGCAACAGCCCCCCTGACCCACTTGTGAGTTATCCATTTTCTGTGATACAGAAACAAACTGGTCTGACTTGCTGACTGGGATCTTATTTCTTATTACTGTTCATAACACGGTACAGAAAGCTATTTAAACTTGGCTTGTTAAAATGAATTTAGCCATAAAGTGGATAAATAGTTTTATTTGAGCCATTCAGCAGCAACTGTAGAATTTTTACTGTTAGGTTAAAAATTCTGGTTTACAATAAGCAACAGTAAAATACATGAGACATTAAATATTATAGTAGCTTTGAGTCTCACAGTGCACGAATCACAGGTTTTTAGGTACAGTGCAAGAATACAAGGGTAGTAACATACTGCAGGTAGCATTTTGTTCAACATGAGCATTCAAAATGTGAATTAAAACACACTACCTGACTCAAAACGTCCACAATAAGAGCGGACTGTATACATTTCTGGTTAGCAGTGGTTATTAAAAATTCAGCATTTACTATATACTGTATGTGATCAATAACAGTGTATAAAACATTTAGTCACAGGCAGATGACACGGAGATCTGTTACATTTACAGTCTTTTCAAATCCCCTCATTGTGGATGTGAGACTTGCTTTTTTTGCGCTTCACCTTACCATTGGAGACCGGGACATCCAACGACTCCAGGCGGAAGGGCCGTGAGCTGACGGGTGGGTTCACGGTGGAACCGCTCACACTGAGGTGGGCCGCCCCGTTAACCAAGGGTGGAGAGTGGATGGCTGGAGGAGAAAAGCTCCATCAGACGAGTAAATGTAAACTGACATTGTGACAGTTGCAGAAAGTTCTTTGGTGTAGCTGTTAGTATTTTTATTTTCAGAATTGAGCATTTTCTTTTTGGTATAAGTGATTGAATATGGGATGCTGGACTAATCATTGAACCCTTCTTGTGTGTCGCGGTGAATGGCTGTGTGTGCTGTGGCCGTGTGTGTGTCTCTGTTTAGAACCATCAAACAGGCAGTATTTTTAAACGTTTTATCTCAAAACTTTCACAGTCGAAACCTGATTACTTTTGTCACATTGTTAAAATGTTTATGATAGTAGCTTGATTGACTGCTCCTCCTCAAAGAACTGACACTTCAGAATCTAAAGTAAAGACCAGAAACACACTAAATGATGACAACCTGCAGATTTACCACTGTGAGGATGAAGAGACATCATTAGAGCTTATTAGCAAACTATTGGCTATTATTTGTGCTCTCTATCATCCTGGATGGTTGAGTCAGTGGAGAGATCTGCAGGTCTTAGTCTCACCGTGTCCCTTGGTAGCTTCCCGTCCCAGCAGTTGGCTCGCCCTCTTAGACTTGAAGTAGCTGCTGGCGATGTTCTCACTGTCACTACGATCAAGCATTTCCTTGTACCTGTCCCCTTCCACCTGCCCCCAACACAGCACACAGGGTAACGGCTCTGCGACAGTGTTTCAATGTTGTGTCTGATGTGTCTAGAAGATACGTAGAAACATGAACACATAAAACCCACCATGAATGGCTCTCCAGCATCAGCAGCTGAAGCTCTGCGAGTTGCAAGTCTTGGAGCCACTGCTATGAGAGAGAAAGAAAGTGAGACAGTATTAGGACTTACAGTCTCGAAAGCTACATCATTAAGAAAAACTGATAAGCCTATTTTCTATATGCCCTCATCACACATTGCACCTGAAGGCAGTGTTGTTTTCTGCACCATCACATCCGGCAGCCTCCAGGTGGCGCTGTCCTCGTCCCAGACAGCTTCTTTCTTCAAGCGGTCCAGGTTGCTGTAGTTGCAGTCACGGCGCACCAGCGGCACCATACGCTCCAGCAGGCTGTGCAGTAACTGACCCTCCCTCTCCAGCCGCCGGATTGTTGCCAGGTAGTCATTCCTCTCCACCTCGAACTCTGCCTGCAGGTCACGGATCTCCAGTTTGGCTGCTTTCAGCTGTCACAACAGGTGGATGCGGTTTTATGGTTGAATGCAGAACACATGATTCAGCACTGAAAGCTTAGAGACTCAGAGGGATCATTTTGTCCTAACTTTGTAAGATTCTTGGTGCTAAGTAAACACTCATTTATGTGGTATTTTGTACTGAACAGTCTGAACTCAGGCGGTTCTGATGTGCAAAAAATAGGTTTTACTCTCCAAATCAGAGAATCCAGGAGGAGACAGGAGTTAATGAAAGAATAAAGGGTTTTTATGTCTACGAATAACAGGAGCAAATCACTGACAATTTTGGGCCTGTTTGGACTGATTAAAGCATCATTGAGTATACTTCCAGTCATTATCGTGTTTTTCCTGTCCATGTATTTGAATATTTTCAGAGCAGTGAAAATATTTTAGAGTGGACCAATTACATCAGAAAGATATTGCTTCAACATATTCCTTTGTTGTCACTGGCCAGATCCATTTTTCCTCCGAACCTTCTTGTACTGAATGAACCATTGACCCACCTTTCCCTGGACCTTGACCAGCAACTGGCTTTTGGCATGGACCTCTTCCTGGATGGAGTTGTAGACATTCAACAGCACATTTTCACTCTCCTCACTGTTCTCTGACAGAGCGCGGATTAGATGGACTTTTCTCTGGTCAGCGAGGTTCTTCCTCTGCCAGTGTCTCTGCTGTAACTCTTTGTTCCTGGCCTGCTCTCCTCCCACCACTTCCTGCTCCAGCTGCTGCAGTCTGGGGATGGAGAGATGGATGAATAGGAACGCTGCATGGAGATCACAAACTACATAACAACAAGCACTTGAGCTGCATGTTGCCCCATCAAAACGATTATATCAAACATAATCCGCTACATTAATTAAATAAAAAATCTAAATAATGCATTAAAAGGCAAATATTCCTTTGTCAGCATACCTGCGTTGTCATAACCTACATGCAGTACTAATATACGGTATGAATTATGCAAATATTATACAATAGTAATTTCAGTGGTTGATGGATGGTTATGTTTGTCAAATATTTGTCCACAAACCTTTCCAGGACGTGTTGCTGGTCTAGAGGCCCTGCAGTGCCAGGTGAGTCTACAAGTCCGTCTCCATCTGGACCTATTTGGACACCAACTGCTGCACAAGGTACAGCTGCCTGGCTCACCAACATGAGGAAATAATACCAAGTAAGTTTCTAACAACCAGCAGTGGTAACATGTTTTGAATGATTAATGGTTAACGGTGGAAGAGTACCTTGGTCAGAGAAGTGTCTCCAGCTGTACTGTGGCACATGGGATCAGTGTTATGGCAGACCTCTTCCTCAGCAACCTTTGTCATACAGCTAGAGCTCACTGATGCTAGGAGGCAAAACAATACAAAGTCAGTACACAGGGGGTGGACACAATAACAAGAACTTTTGATGAACAACAACAAATGTTCAGTTTGACGAGCACTGAAACCAGTTTATTAACAACTTACAAGGTTCTTTGTTGTGGACAGAAGATTTTCCGTTACCATTCTTTAGGACAGAGCTCCCCCTGCTGGTTCGGGCCTTCTCCAGATTAGACAGCTTGGATTCATAGGAGGAACAAAGGGCAGCAATGTCCTCCTGCAGCTTTGCTTTGGATTCCTGCTCTGCATTGTACTCAGCTTGCAACTTGGCCAGCCTCTCTTCATACTCCTGTGGAGGGAGCAGAATACGCACTCATAAATCACCTGGTTCTCATATAATGCATGGGGAGAAGCGAGGTGATATATTGGTGTGGGAACATCCTATAGTTGCCTCTTTAATCTTATCCTTCTCTGCTTCTGTGGTGTTGGACTGTGGCCTTGAAGGAACAGCAGGGGATGCTTCAAACAACTGACCAGCCAGCAGAGCTGCACGATAAGTAAAAGCAAACACGTGAGTTTTTTCTTTTTAGCAAGACAGGTAAAAATCACTGAACAAAGAAGTGCAAAATGCAAATGAAACATATCTCAATAGCTACATTTAAATCATTTTCAAATAAAAAGATGTTGTGTCCTTATATCAACAGAATTAATCATTTACATGCAAGGTCAGCAGTGCCCAGCTGGCCTGAGACGAGGGCCCGCAACTTCTTGATCTCCTCCTGATACTCTCGGAGCAGAGCATCCTTGGGGTCCTCGTTGATACGAGGCCTGTTCTGGATGCTCTTGGCCCGGTTGGCATAACGAAGCGTGCTCAGACTTTCCTCGTAGTTGTTGTCTGCGGGGGAGAGACAGGCAATCATCAACGTGCGTGTGTTTCCTCCCAGAGAGTCCTGGAGCAGTCTGGTCAGCTTGGAGTCCCGGTAGGGGATGTATTTGGAGCGTCCGTCCACCAGGGCAGAGATGACGTTCCCCAGGGCCGAGAGGGAGAGGTTGATCTTGGTGGCCTCGCGGAGCCGCTCGCCGGTGGCACCGGTTTTAGACTGACGCTCACTTCCTGCCAGGTCAACAAGGTTGAGTTTACCCGCTCGTAGATGATCCTGGCCGGCTGCATCTGAGAATTTGGAGTGACAAAGTGAATGTAGAGAGAATACAACTTTAAAGTTAGTCTGTTCCTTTAAGCTGAATAACTCCTGGCAATGTACCTTGCATTTCTATTAAAGGTCTATTATTAATGTATTTTAGCTTGTTGATAGTCTCAGCAGACACAGCAGGTCAGGTTTATTATTCATTAGTTCTCTGTGCAATAATCCTGTTGTGTTTTTTTATACTTTTAGCCAGAATTACTGATTCTCACACTTTTATTTATTTAGTTTTTCTATTTCTTAATCATTTTTTATCTAATTAGAATTGCCATCGTCTATCAGGAAAACAATGTTTTTGTTTTTTAATATGCTCCATAAATAAAAAAGACCTGACTCGACTATTAATTTGTTTAGCTGTGTTTTTCTTTCTTATTCTGTGTATAACTAATCAGCGTTTTTGCACCAAACATTTAAAATCATACAAGGAAACATCAATGACACACTAAGCGTAACAGCCGGTTGATATCAGAAGGCGTATCTGTTCTTTAACATCATAAAATAAAATGTCGGATAAAAATGCCTTTATCCGACATTAAACAGATATGTTTCAGCAGGTTACAGGTATTGTGTCACTGTGTGTGTGTTCACCTGTGCTGCAGATCTCCAGATGGATGCTGAAGATGGAGTGGGAGCGGGAGGAGTCTTTGTTCATCAGTGTGTAGCCCACTGCCCGGTTCTTCCAGCCTTGCTCTATGATTCTCTCGCACTCCCCCACACTGTGCACAGTGTGCATGGAGAGGTCCCGCACATACACCCCGCGCTCTGGATGCTCTTTCAGCTGAGCATTCATCAGCCACACATAAAGCACATGAAATCCAAATCTGTCACTTGTTCAAACACCTTGACCTTCAAGTAAAAAAAACATGCAACTACTGTGCTTTTGAGTCACCGTGGCAACTCGGTACAGGATTGTGCTGACTGTAAGAGAATAGTCTGAGAAACAGGTTTCATAATGAACAATAATCCTTTTGGTTCCTAATGCCACACAGTGCAGTCCGATTTGTTTATTAAAACAACAGCGCTTACCTCCAATCTCTGCTTGGTGTCACTTCCCAAAAGGTCTCTGATTTCTTCATTGTAAATCTCCAAGTAGGAGGCCCGCACCAGGAACTTTGTATTTTCTGCACACTAGCTTGCAAACAAAAACACACACAATTATTCCCTCTGAGGATACAAAGCTTAGACAAGCGTGAACAGAGACTAGAGAAGATAAAAGTTGTGGTTACACACTGATGTCATGCACACTTTTTTAACAGTTACCCTAACTGACCTGAATACTCTCAAAGATGTGCTCAAAGGCTCGTGGAATGACGCCCCTCTGGGCCGCAGGCTCGGACACTCCCTGCATGGTGAAAGACTTCCCACTTCCGGTCTGTCCATAGGCAAAAATTGTGCCATTGTATCCCTCAGTGACACCCTGTAAAAAAACAAAAACAAATGTGGCACACGTGAGCTTTTGCATGAGGCACCCTGCTGACCTTTCTGAGTAACTGACAGCAGACTGTTAAGTAAATAATGAGGTCTGCAGTCATTGGCAATAAGATATAGCCTACTGTTGTTAGACTGGGGGGTGTCCAGTGACCTGTGTGCTACTTATATAATGCCTGGATCTCCATACTGTTGCTGTGCATTGGCACTTTAGGTTTCAACATCAACAAACACACTGGAAACACTAAAAAGCACAATCTAAAATGGTCCCTGGAGCTTACCTCAACTAAAGGATAGGCAATCTCGTTGTACATCTGCTCAGTGGTTTGATCAATAAAGTAGGTCCCGTCAAAGGTGAACTGTTTGGGTGGCTCGTCCGCTGCCCCGGGTTTCTCTATGAAGCACTGGCACCGGTGCAGGTCCATGAACATCACCGTCTTCGAGCAGAGAGCCTTCTCCCTTTCATTCAGGGGCCTGCACCTGACCACCACCTTCACAGACTCGGAGCCCATGTCTCCACATTCACTCCGCAGCTATCGGCTGGTGCAGTAGATGACACATAAAAAAAAAAAAAGAGAGAGGAGTAATGTCCAGTTCTGCTTTATAAATGCATGTCTGCAGAGCTTCACTGTCAGCAGGATCCTCATCAGGTAAGGGCTAACTGACAGCTCACATCCTGGTTACAGAAGATGACCAGAGAATATCAAACAGCAGTTAATAAAATACTCAAAAAGATTTAAAAAAACAAATAACAACAAATAACTAGTTGAGTGGAGGCGGATATCCTCGTCGGGTATCGTTACCGGTCCCCTGTCATCCTGCTGCTCCTCTCACGGCGTTTTTCACGTCGCTTAGCAACCGTAAACAATCGTTGAGGGATGAGACTGTTCCCAGACCAGCAGCCATTTTGAGGAGGAGGGAGTGAAAGTGGTGTTATATTTTATATGTTTACGTATTAATACAGTGTTTTTTTATATATATAGTTTTGTATATAACGTTTATTTATTTATTTTTTAGCAAGAAAGAAAACAACCCTTCCTAGCTAAGCCTGAGTTGTATTTACTAATTATATATCTTTAATATTACACTTGGTTACTCATTTTGTCCTCATATTTTAAGTAGCCTGTTGTGTCCTGGTTGGTGTATATTTTGTCAATAGCGCCATAAATAACCTTTTAAAAAACCTCTCAAAACATTTAGAGCTAGACTTGCTACTTAAGTGGCAGGAGAGTTACACACTGGATGTTTTTCTATTGCCTTCACAGAGGAATACATGTTAAACTATACAACTAACTATTGCACTAGTGTAATTATTTATGCCAGGGAGGGAAAATAAAACTATATTTAACAAATGTCGGTTTATTAGGTACACCTAGCATAAAAACTAATGCAGTCTGAAACAGCGATCATCCTCCAACATGATCTCTTTAAACATTACAACCACTGAGGTAGGGTTTATTACCAGACTGTTTAAGACTCCATTAGTTTTAGATAAGTGTACCTAATATACTGGCAACTGAGTGCATTTGTTAATTTTTTGTTAAAAACACAAAAAAAGCAATTCTATGTGGAGTCCTGGCCTAAGATTTAGAAACTGAGCAGTATAAGTTTCATGAGAATAATAGCAGCTTTCTCAATACCAAAACTACAAGTGATGCAGTGCCATTCAGAGTCAAATGAAACACGAAGGAAAACAACGTTTCTGCAGGGATCAAAACAGAACACGCCTGTAATTTAATCTCAAACAAGGATGAACAATAGGAACATTATTTGTTGGCCGAATGTGGAAAAGATGGTAGAAAGGTGCTTCAATTATTAATTAAAATGCAGCCTCTTGGAACAGAACAAAAGAAAGACATATAAAGTCTTATAATAACCAAAAACCCAAGGGCAGATCCAATTTCATACCATGGTGAAAAATCAGTGTACAAGATATACATTTAACTGCACACAACATATCCTGTTAGACAGTTGCTGCCTTTAAATTGACCTCCTAAGATGAACTCCATTTGAAGCCAGCAACAAAAAAAACAAACATAACAATGAGTTAGTCTGACAGCACACAAACTTTAAAACAAAAATTGTAACACACCCCTCCTTAGTGGCCATGATATACAAGCACACTAATAACCGAAGATATAGAAAATATTTGGTGTCGTGGTCTTATTTTCTTGTACCATGACACAGTTGTGTTTAGTATTACTGCTTATACATCCTCCAGGTCTGATGTCTAAAACACACAAACAGTGATAAGGTAAGCAGGATTCAAATGCAAAGAAACAAACTTTGATCAAATATATTTGTGCAACATCTTCACAATGTGTGTGCAACAATAGGCGTGCACAGTTTCAGGGTCGTTAGTTTAACATCTTAAAAAACACTAATAAAATTGACTGACGCCTTAAAGGCACAAATAAAAAAACACATAAAAGCAGCAAGCACAAAATATTACATTTTAACAAATAGGGACCCTTTGATAGGAATGACTTGTATACTATATACATTAAGTGCCAACACTGTTATAGGTGCATTACACTTTGTGAAACCGATCGTGATTTAAGAGATGATACATGTGCAAAGAGAAAAGAAAAAAAAGGGTGTCACTTTTAGAGGTTGGCAGTCCACAAGTTCCAGTGTCCAGGGTTTAAACCCACTCCCTTCTGTGGGTACTTTTAATTTTGGCTTTCGTCAGGCTCTTGTGAGGCTTTACAGCCAGCTGTTTGCTGGTAGTTTCCTCCCACTCATAACAGTGGTTTACCCGGGCACAGCTCAGCAGACACTGCAGGTCCTCCTGAGTCTCTGTGTAGTGTTCAATCAGTTCTACTATGGAACCGAACTCAGTCTTGCATTTCTGCCACAAAGATAAACCAAATAAACAGAAAAAATTTTACTGTTAAATTACACAAAATTATCAGTTTCCAATATATAAGTATAATCAAATGCAGCAATTTAATTATTCTTTGTTTAGTTGTAGTTGTTGGTTGTGTTGTTGTTGTTGTTAAAATGATTGTTTTGGAGCCATCTTATGACATATTGCACACTAAGTAAGTCCAAATACTTATATTTTACAATATTTTGGCATGAAAATAGTTTCCTCTTCCAGACTCAGACCCTCACATCCGATACTGGGGAGCTGCATGGCCAACTTTAGTTAAGATCCACTGATGTGCCAGCCCAGATCCTAAAGTTTCTAAATATAACACTGAATTGCAGAGAAATGTGTATCCACAAGGAACCTCAATTCTTAATTTTAATGTGGTCATGCAGCCCTGAAAGACTGCATGTCATGTTTATGTTTCACTTGAGAAAAGTTTGATAAATTCTCATTAATTTAAATGAAAATAAACAGACACAATATAAAGTATATACACATGAAATGTACGCAAGAAGACTTGAAGGCGTGTCATATATAAATATTTGTATACTGGTACAAAACACCTTGTGTCTGTCTTGCATTATATCAATATTCTACATTAAGTTTAACATTACATTAAGCATTAAGTAACCAGTGGAACAGAGCAATAAGTCAAACATACATTTCTGTGGAGTGAACCGTTTACTCTCTAATTCAGTCGACATTTTGTTTCCACCACAAACTTAAGCAAATATTATCCTGGCAGACTCACTGTTTGTACAATTATTATGTACAAGATTCAACCTGCCTCAACGAAACAATTACCTCCAGCTGGAATTTCCCTTTACGGGTGTTTTCTATGAGATGTGTGACCAGGCCAGAGGGGAAGCGAATGATGAGCGAGCCACATTTGGGTTTTTTAGGATGCGGACACAAGAGGTACGATCCCATAACGTCGTCAGCAAGCAGGGAATAGCTGCTGTCACTGAAAGAGAAGACGGAGACAAAATAAGAACTAGAGAAGGCATCCACGGTCAGCGGAGTATGTTAAATACACAAGTAACACTCACGTTGCGATACCAGACCAACACCACACTGCTTGAGCCAGTGCTTCTTCTGTTTCCGCCAAGCTTGGAGCGCGGGATCTCCTCGCTGACGTCTTGTTTTTGTCCTTTTCTGTTTGATAGATAAGAAGAGAAATCATTGGGAATTTTGGAGATTTCAAAATGTCCAAAAGTGGAAGGAAACATCCAAATGTAATCCCAGCTCAGTGGAGGAAATGTTTGGTTTGAACGTAACAGGACTGAGATGAACAAAGCAAGTGGTGATTAAATAACCCATAAAGCCAATGTTTGTGTTTCAACATATTTAAAGCTAATTATTGAAACAGACACCAGTGAGAGAAGCTTAAAGAAAATGTTTGTACAGTAGGACCCACGTGAGACAAAAACCATTACCTCAGTATAAAAATGACTACCTTCAGACACCACAACAGACAGTGAGGGACTGCCCAACACCTGATACTGAAGGGTTTGCTTTTACCTAATCAACTCTCTGACTCTTGAAAGCGCTCTGTGAACACTTGGCCCACCTTGTGACTCGCTCAGTCGCTCCTGAACATTGCGCTGTTTGAGTGGCGTGAAGGTGAAGGAGCGGTAAGCCCCAGAGCGCAGCGCTTTGGTGCGCATGGCCTTCTTGCGCACCAGAGATGGGGAGAAGGTGGGGAAGACTTCATCTTGGCTGCTGACTGGATCATCAGAAGACTTTTGATTCTTCTTCTATAGATGGAGGGGGAAAACAAAATGTTTGAATACAGAAGTGTTTATTCTCAGATGGCCAAAAACTCTCGTTTGTTTTGTCTTCTTCAACCTCATTAGGTCACTAGTTCCCTAGTAGTGAATTACAACCCTTAAACGGCCCCTCCATCCATTAACACAAATTCAACGAAACCTTGTGAATTCTGCGCGACAGTTTTCATTTCTCCTGCAATTTGATGGCAAATAGAAGAAGAAAAGACACATAAAGACTCAAAACATTGCAACATGCATTGCAATCTTTTAGAAAAGCTGCTGTGAAATCAGGGCTTAAGGGACTAACTAGAAGGGAAAGACTAGGGTTGAAATAATAATATCATGTTGTAACAGGCAATGAGAGAAGACATTCAAGTCCAAACCTTAGTCCCTGGCAACCACCCTCGAAAAGGGGCTCTTCTGAAGGACACCAGGGCGCTGACACTGAGAGGGAAGCCGTGGTTGAGCAGGGAGGGGTTACGACGAGGCGTTGAGCCAGCGGAGTCCTCCTGGGCCTCCTCTGGGTGCTTCTCCAAGTAAGACAGCTGGAAACAGCGGCACAGCAGCAGGTTCAGGAACTGTGCCTACGGGGAGAGAAAGGGGACACTTGTATCCAAATGGTGATATCTAATTGTTGGCTAAGTGACATGATAGCCAGTTTAAAGTTACCTTAACTGACATAAATACAGTTACGATGTCAAAGTGAAGAGGTATTATATCTCAAAACAAAACAACGTTGTTGTAGTGATCGATTTCTCTTTCCCGGAGCCGTTTACCGGCTGAAGGAGAACTCAGAGTTTATTTTTTTAAACTCTTGGGATTCAAACGTGGGTTTATCTTACTCTCGCTCCTCAACCGATCTCCTCTTTTACTGTGTAATTAATCTAAAAAGTAACTTAACCTACTAATTTAAAAACACCTGTGTGGGTGTACAGGGCCTTTAAAAAAACTATACCATAATAACTTCTATTTTTATTAAGATACTATCAATTATTGATCATCTCAGTGGTGTTGCTGAGGCACTGTGTCACGATCTTCTTTAGCATTTTGTACAAGTTTCAGTGACTGTAAAACTGCACAGAAAAGTTCAACAGGCGCAACTTTCATTAACTTGGTTGCAGTATTTTTAGATCGTCAGTCCCTCCGTATAGACCAACTCACAGGTCTCTTTAAAATGACATATTCTCCCTTTTGATGCATCACAAATAAACTTTTTTATAAGACCATAATGTTAAAAAAAAAA